GGAGCAAGGAACTCAGTGGTCAAACGTGGGCTTTAGGCATGAGAATTTTACAGCTGTGGGTAAGATGGATTAGAGACAGTAACAAGACAGAAGGCAAGAAGAGTGAATTGTAGGCATGCATTCTCTGTGAGAAACAACTAGGAAGTCAATGTGACTAAATTTTACAGTGCATGATGAAAAATAATGCATAATGAGACTTGATAAAAATAATTACTAGTATATAATAAGGTAGGTTGGCGGTAGATTGTTAAGATCTTTAAATGCCAAAGCCATTTGCGTTTAACCGTAGAAATAATAGGGAGCCAATATCATGTATTAAGCAGAATGACATAATCAGATTACTGCTTTAATGAATATCATTTTGAAAGCTTTGTAGATGGAGCGTGGATAGACTTGAGACAGGGCGACCAGTTAGAAAGCTGTTTACTGGTAAAATGAGATTGACCCCTGGACTTGAAGTCAGGAAGACCTGATTTCAAATCTAGCCTTAGACACTTACTAGCTGGGTGAACCTAGGCAAGTCAGTCAACCATTAAACATTTATTAAGTGCCTACTAGGTGCCAAATGCCAGGGATACAAAAAGAGGCAAAAGAGCCCCTGCCCTGAAAGAGCTCACAGTCTGAACAAGCTGTTGTTGTTCATCCTTCATTTCCAAAGAAGACCAATGAGATCACAGTGTTGAGGTCTCGGTATGGTGTGTTCATCTGTTGCTGATTAGACCAGTTAGAGTTTGGAAGGCACTAACTACCACAGATCAGGTGCAAGTGAGCTGTTAGAATGTTTAGAGTGGAAGTGGTTCTGGATTTCCGCAGCTCACATTTCCTTTGTCCTTCTACAATTCTACTTTGCTCATGGAATACACCAGGCACCCCATGCTGGATGGTCCTGTGCTAGCATTTCCCATGTCTCACAGTCAATACTAAAGTTCCTCAGAGATACCTTGAGAGTGTCCATATACCACTTCTTCTGATCACTGTGTGAGTTCTCCATAAAATAGTCTTTTGGATAAGCATGTGTTTGGCATTAGAACTATGTGGCCAGCCCATCTGAAGTTGCACTTTCTGCAGTAGAGTTTGAATGCTTGGCAGTTTAGCTCTAGAGAGGACCTCTGTGTCCAGTATCTTATCATGGCAGGTAATCTTTAGGATCTTCCTGAAATAATCCAAGTGGAAGCGGTTCAGTTTTCTGGCACATCTAGGTTTCACAGGCTTAAAACAGTGTAGTTAGCATGGCAGTTTTGTAGGCCTTCAGTTTGGTAATCAGCCTGATACCTACTCTCCCACACTCTTCTTTTGGAGCCTCCCAAAAGCTGATCTAGCTCTGGCAATGCGAGCATCAACTTCATTGTCTGTGTAGAGAGCCCTGGAGGATAAATGGGAAGGCATTAGAATTAAGAGAGGTTGGGAAAGGCTTCCCGTAGAAGATGAGATTTTAGTTGGAACTTTGAGGAAGCTAGGGAGGGCAGTATGTGGCGATGAGGAGGGAGAGCATTCCAGGCATGGCAGATAGTCAGAAGGTCTTGTTCATGGAACAGCAAGGAGGCCAGTATCACAAGATAAAAGAATGTATGACTAGGAATAATGTGTAAAGAAGTCACTTAACCCCTTTCAGTCTCAGTTTCCTCATCTGCAAAATGGGAGTAGTCAAAGCACCTACCTCACAGGGTTATTGTGAAGATCAGATGAAATGTGTTAAGGAAATTTGCAAACCTTCACGTTCTTTGTTAGCTGTTGTTTTTATCAGCATCATCAGCATCATCATCAGCATCATTGTAATAATCCAGGCAGGTGGTAGTAAGGACTTGAATTAGAAGGGGACATGTGAGAAATGGTGTGAAGACAGAGAATATCCAAGAGGAGAGGGGGGTTGGAATTGTAGAACAGTGCAAAGAGCTCAAGAAGCAGGACTGAGAGAAGGCCATTGTATTTAGCAGTTAAGAGTTCACTGGTCACAGTTGAGTTGTAGAATCATAATCCAGATTGCTGAGTGGTGAGCAAGAGGTAAAGGGCAGCTCGTTCATGGGGTTAGGATTTAGATTATGGAAGGGAGAGGAGGCATAGGATGGTAGCATGTTTATAAGTATCCAGAAAGGACACAGTAGATAAAAAGAGATTGGTGAGTAGGAGGAGGTTGGGGTTGGGAAAATATTAAGAATGATTGAAGGGGAAATGGGAAGAGATGTTATGATGGGCCCATATACAGGGATTGACCTTCCCCATTCCCTGGAGCAAAAGTAGACTGAATGGGGAGGGAAGTTGAAGAGATTTGAATTGGGGCAAAGAAGAAGCTCAAAATCTAGACCGAGGGTCTCTTTTTTCCTCTATAAAATTGAGGTGGAGGTCTCTGTGGCAGGGGAAAGCTTTAGGTGGGATTGGAAGGTTTGCAATTGGTGCTTTGGGGAAGGTGACTTTGATCAGGAAAGAATAAAAGGATTTCCATGCAGCCTTCAAATTTGTAGTAGTGGACCAGGTAAGTATATTTGCATGACTTCCTCCAGCATTCAGTAGTAGTAGAAATGGAGAAGAAGCAGGTGAAAATTTGGAAAGAAATGTGTTATAACAGCACAGCAGGGCAAGGGATTCAAAGGTAGAGGACAGTGTAAAGTTGAACCGGTTAATTATAGGGTCAAACTTTTAATGGGAGTAAAGTAAGACCAGAGCAGGAGTGATTTACTAGGAAAGCTGGGAGGAATAGAAGAACAGTTGGTCAGGAAAGGGAGAAAGAAAACATTTAGGATGAGTGAGGTCAAGGGAGAGATGGATGAATAAGAGGGTATGTGGCCTGAAAGGAATGCCAGCATTCTTGATCATACAGCTTGAACCTTTATATGAGCTCAAAAGGATGGCCTTCCTTGTGTGTGGCTTAGTTTTCTTCACAAAGTACATATTAGTTCCTTTCGTGTACCCTTGCTGTTCTTCACACATAACACTCCTTCTCCCATCTGCTTGCTTTTGTATAAGCTATTCCATTATATGTGGAATACACTCCCTCCTTACCCCCACCTTTTAGCATCCACAGTCAAGGTCCTCTGCAGAGAGGGACTAGGAAAGGAGTATTGTTGATCAGGGTTTTGAAATTTGCAGCAAAACTCAGGAGTCCATATTAAAACATATTAAAATGTAATTGGGAAATATTTAACAAAATAAATACAAGTACAAACTCTTTGTCAATTTGTGATTTTCTTACCATGCCTTTCTGAATTTATCATATTCATTGTTTTTTATAGCACAGTAATCTTCTTTAACATTTATCTACCAACACTTTGTTCAGTTCTTTGCTGTTACAAAAAGTGTCATATAATGGGCTTTGATTCAGGAAGACCTAGGTTCAAATGTCTTTTCAGATACCTAGTGTTTGATCCTTGGCAAGTCTCTTAGCTGCAGTTTCCCCATCTCTATAATAAGTCAAATAACAGAACATACATTACAGGATTGTTGTGAGAGATCAAATGAGATAACATGTAAAATTCTTAATAGACATTTTTGTTATTTAAGAAAGAAATCCAGGATGAGTTTGTTAATGAAAGAAACGAGGTCAAATGGAAAGACCACTAGATTTAAGGCCAGGAAACCAGAGTTCAAGTTCAGGCTCTGATATTTACTAGCTGTGTGACCTTGGGCAAGTTGCTTAACTCTCAGCCCCAGTTTTCTTAACTGCAAAATGGAAATAATTCTCGTTACTGCCTACTACACAGGATTGTTTTGAGGAAAGCTTTTGGAAACCGTAAAGGGTGCTATCCAATATGGCCTCTTATTTTAAGAGAATTGGGCACAGTAGAAGGGAGTAGGGTCTAGGTAGACTGTAGACTAGGGACTAAGGGGGGTGGTGATCACGGATGAACAAATGAATGAAAAATAAAAAGTATTTGTTAAGTGTTTATTGTGCACAAAGTGCTATGCTATAAATAGGAATCCAAGAGAGTCCCCGCTCTGAAAGAGCTTGCATTCTAATGGAAAGAGATAACATGTAGGAGGATTCAGCTGCAAATCAGATGGAAAGGTCCTTGGTCCTTATGGTGCAGCAGCCAAGCAAATACTGTTGTTATCAGTAAATGTTATCAACAAATATCATTGAGATTACAGAGGGAAGTAGCAGGACAGATGAGGTGTCTAGTTTACTGTTCCTGGGAGGTGAGCTAGAAGGAGAAATTATATAGGTCCAATAAGAAACTTGTCTTTTCCAAAACCTGCTTTTTCTCCCAACATACTCTTAGTCACCAAACTTGTCATTCTTGCCTTGTTTTTCCCTCTTCCTTGATATCCCGTTAGTCACTAAGTCCTGTCAGTTCTTCTTTCAAAACCTGTCTTGTCTGTGGTTTTTCTTGCCCTTACTGTTGTAGTCCAGGCATAAAGTAAAAGAAAAAGTATCACTTCTAACCTGGTTTACTGTATAAGCTTCCTGTCTTCCCATACTTTAGGCTTTAATCATTCTAATTCATCCTGGGAACTGCTGCCAGATAGTCAAGCCTTCAGTTCCTCCGCCCAGCTTTTGATTACCTACCATGCTCTGGTGCTCCTTTGCCCTTCCATCCTTATTTCTCACTATTCCCTCAAAACATCTCTTCTGTCAAGATAATCAGGCCAGTCTTCTCACAGACAGTAAGCATGCCACATTCCTTCATGACTGTACCTTCATTTTTGCCTGTCCAAATGCCCCATCTCAAATAAGACCCTGCTCGAGTCCCATATCTTCTTGGGAATCCTTTCTTCACTGTTCCAGTCCTCATTGATCTCCCTCTCCCTTGAATTCCTCTATTGCAGTCCAGCACTTAACTATCTGCTGGCATGAACTATTTTTGCCATTGTTTGATGTGTCTGTTAGTTGTGCCTCTCCAACTGGACTCCGAACTGCTTGGAAACTGTAATGGCCTGTCTGTATTGTATGTCCTTCCTCATAGCACCTAGCACAGGTCTGGGCATACTGCTCTGAATATTTTGTAGATTTTGATCATTTATTAGAGAAGTGTGATTTGATAGTTCTTTTCCTTTTTTTCTCCTAGAACTCTGTCAAATTGGGCATATGAATTTGATAAATGGGCTCCTTCTGTGGTGAAGGTCTCCTACAAGGTAAGTTATAGCTTTCCCCTTCAAAAGTTTTTACTGCTCATAAAATACTTAAAGGTAAAGGAATGAAAAGTCTTTATATGTTCATATTTATATAGATATAGATATATGTATCTGTCCATCTATTTATCTATAGATAGGTATAGATATGTTAGGAGCCAAGAACTGTCAGCAGAGTCTGGTGGAATTGAACCCTAGATTTGGTATCTGGTGCTGTGGGGTCAGATCTTGGCTCTACAAGCTGCGTCCTGTGGCCTTGAGGAAGCCACTCACCCTCAGCACTATACTTTCCTTTTCTTCAAAATGAGGAGATTGAATTATGTGATGTCTGTGATTTCTTCCTGCTGAGTGTAAATGTTATGATGCTGAGTAGGAAGAAACAAAATGGAAACATTTTCGAAATCATTGCTTTCCCTTCAAGTCCTTCAGCATTTCAGGTTGGTTATTTGCATACCCAGCATCACTGGCCTGAAGTTCACCAGCCTTTCAGGCTGGTCCTTCACGTGCCCAAAGGCCTCCTGGGGCAGGGGCATGGCCTTGAGCTCTGGCCCTGGACCAGCTTGTGTGGGAAGCTCAGGCTGGAGGGAAGTTATTCAGTAAGAGCTTCTCCTTTCAAAGTCAGGTACCCCAGCAAGTGTGTATTTGTTTGGAGAGTCTGTGTTTTATTCTTTATCAAGACAGTACAGCTGACACCTGTTGAATCTTAAGTCCTTACTCCCCTTGTTGGTTAGAATTACCCTGCTGGTTCTTCTGTGCACCCCAATAAGCAGATGCTGCTTTCCTCTCCCTAGGGCTCTCCAGCAGCAAGACGAGCTTTTGTACCTCAGCTTCGGAGTGGGAAATTCAATGTCTTGCTAACTACTTATGAATATATTATAAAAGATAAGCACATTCTTGCCAAGGTAAGGTTTTGTCATTGTATTTCTTCAACAGCAAGCCCAAGATGTCCATGACTAGTAGTGAAATAACTGGCAAAATGTTAATATGCTGATCATTCTCTTATTTCCAAGTATTTCCTAAGAATTTTTTATTTTTTTAGGCAGTTGAGGTTAAGTGACTTGCCCAGGGTCACACAGTTAGTAAGTGTGAAGTGTTTGGTCTGAGGCCGGATTTGAGCTCAGGTCCTCCTAACTTCAGGACTGGTGCTCTATCCACTGTGCCACCTAGCTGCCCCAAGAAATTATTTTATGTTTTTTTTGTTTGTTTTTTTTCCAAAGAAATTATTTTAAAGCATACTTTACCAAGGTCACAAGCTTGGAAACTGCTTTGCGTAAGAGAAATAATAATGTTGTTAAGGTCACACAACAAGTAAGTAGCCATGGTGTGATTAGAGCTCAGATTTCAAGCCCTTTCCTGGCTCCATGTCCTCATGCTGTCATTCTGGCCCCTTCTGTGATTACACATAAGGGAAAAAAACAGAGAAGCCAGAAGAGTTGGACCTACCCCATTGTTTAGCTTTCAGAAACTTTCTTCACTCTCTGCTTTCTCCTAATGTCCCCAGCATGGTACAATGGAAAGACCACTAGCTTGGTAGTCAGTCAGCCTTAATTTCTTAATTTTAAAATAAATGGGTTAGACTAGATGATTTCTGAGGTCCATCTAGTTGTAGATCTAATACTATGATTTTTTAACCTGTATTTCACCTTCTTATGAGATCTTAAGCAAATCCTCAGGAAAATTGTGACTGTGTCAAAGGAGGTAGCATGGCATTGTTGTAAGAGGCCTGGACTGCTCCTATGTAAAAGGAGGATAATATTTGTCCTCAATAGGAAGTTAAAGGAAAAGTACTTTGTAAACTTTAAAACATTAGAAAAATTGGAGCTTTTTAGTCTTCCCTCTCAGCACCTCCTACCTCTCAACAAAAAAAAAAAAATCTAATTAATGCTCCAGGAGATAGTAATGGTTAGTCATTTCCAGAGTATTAGTGTAATGAAAGAGGATATCCATCCTTCATGTGAGGCTGATCTAGCCCTGGGGTGGGGTGTGACTTGATTCTTCCATATCTTAAAGTATTATAATTTTTTCTCATAAACCATACTATGGAGTAGGGGATTCGAATAGATGGTATCTAAGGTTCTTTCCACCCCCATATCTAAATCCTATGATCCTGAGTGGAAGGAAGCAAAATGGACCTGTTTGAGTGACAGAATCGGGTCAGGATGTTTGTTGTCCACAAACTCTTCCTGAATTTAGAGTCTTTCTCCTCCACAAAAGTTCTCAGATATCTGTTAAGTTGTTGAGAAGTGCAGTGTGTGTCAGAATATTGAACACCTTGTGGGCCATTAAAGAAGTCATGTGTCCCTTCTGAATGATGCTGGTTGTAAATGTAACTCTGGCATCATTTGCAGATATCAGTGACTTCACCCAAGATGATGTCTGAGAGAAGCAAAGGGCGTGATGTCTTCTTGGTTCCTTCAGATCACCGCATAGGTGCTCTCCTGCTCTGTGTGTGTATGGCTAGACCTGAGACAATATATCAAGTGCTTATTGAGCACCACCTGTGTACAGTGTACTGTGCAGTTTTGGGTTCTAAGGGGTTATTAGGAATTTAGTTGAGAAAGAGAAAAAGTAGGGTAATAGTACAGGCAAAGGCGAAGAAATCCCTACCCTCAAGGAGTTTTCTTTCTAATTGGGGAAAACAGTAATAATAATTGGTCGTTGTTGCATTCTTGAAGAGGACCAAAATGACATCACTATGTTAGAGTTAAGTTACGATGCATCCGACTGGTTGATCAAACTATTATGAGCTTGGAATGCTCTACCACAAGTTGGGCACAAATAGTCCATGTGAACATTTGGGATACGTTCTCTAAATTTGCATATCCTGCATTTCCTTTGAGCTGTTTCAATTCTGCTTTGCTCATAGAGGACAGCACCTTCTCTGATGAGGGCACGCCATGCTGAGCGGTCCTGTGCCAGCTTCTCCCGTATCACACAGTCATTTCCAAAGTTCTTAAGAGAAGCCTTAAAATCTTGTGTTGCTTCTTCTGACCACCATGTGAGCACTTGCCTTGTGTGAGTTCTCCATAAAATAGTATGGCAAGCCTACATTTGGCATTTGAATAATCAAAGAGAGCTGGAAAAGGGGGTGGAGAAGGCCAAGTCTAGAGAATGCAAAGTACGGGTGGGAGTGAAGTGAGTCTGGCTTGGGTCCCTCATGAAATGATGACTCAGCCCAGGGCCACAGAGATCAGAAGAGCTGTCCCCATGAGCGGGCTGCAGGATGGAGGTTTCTCTCAGGGAGAGAAAGCTACTAGTGGGCCATAGGAAGGACTTAAGATTTTTGCGCATATGCATGACATTAACAGATCTGTGCATCAGAAATTGTTGTGGCAGCAGTTTGCAGATGAGATTGGAGGATAGGGGAGAGCAGAAGTGAGAAGACCCATAAGACCCTGTAACTAGAGATGGGTTGGTGGCAGTGAGTAAAGGGTAAGGGAGTTGCCAGTCCAATATAGCAAGCATTCATTAAGTGTCTACTGTGTGTATGGTGCTATGCTAGCTATTGAAGATACAGAGACCAAACAAAAAAAAAAAAAAACATCTTGGTGTGCTTCATTGGGTATAAGAGGAAGAGTCAGAGGGTGGAAACCATGTTTAGAAAAATGTCAAAGATAACCCCAAGATTGTGAAAATGTGAGGCAGAGTCAGTGGTGGTGCCACAGATAGAAACATCTGTGAAGTTGGTAGGAGAACCAGATTTGGGGAAAGGGGGGTGTGTTGAGTTTCACATGAGCTGAGTATGAACTGCCAGCCAGATGCACAGGTCTAGGGCACACAGCGAAGGACAAGCTTGGAGACACAGGACTCCCATTTGGGAGTGACGATTGATACCATGCTAATAAATCTGATTGAAAGGGGTCTAGGGAGTCAAGGATAGGTCTAGGCAGAGTGAGTGTTTGCTGCCTTGCACTGGTTGTCTTGCCATGGTAAGAAGTGAGGAAAAAATGCATTCCTCTGTGGGAACTGGTTATAGTTGAATGAAATTTAGCATAGAAAAAGTTCACTTGCATCTGCAGGATAAAACTATCTCTCCAAAGGACATTTCCCAAATTTCCATGGTTATTTGGTTTGCTGTCTCATCTGCAGATTCGCTGGAAGTACATGATTGTAGATGAAGGTCACAGGATGAAGAATCACCACTGTAAACTAACACAGGTTCTAAACACACACTACGTAGCTCCACGGCGCCTGCTGCTGACAGGGACACCCCTGCAGAACAAACTACCTGAGCTATGGGCGCTGCTCAATTTCCTCCTTCCAACCATCTTCAAGAGCTGCAGCACCTTTGAGCAATGGTTCAATGCTCCCTTTGCCATGACAGGAGAAAAAGTAAGTGTACCCAAGCCAGGAGTCACATGCTGCCTGTACGTGGAGATCCGCTGCTACGAGGCGGGAACTCCTTGAAGTCATCGGGGAAAGAAGACAAAAATGGCCAGTTCAGAGCAGAGTCTGTCAGTTTATCAAGAGACATAACATAAGCTACTAGGAAGGAGGAGGGTTATTGTGTTAATAAGTAGATAAAATCCTGAATGTGCGGAGTGGAGCTTGATAGCATAGTCGAGTCAAGTATAGAGCAAAGATTCTTAGTTGTGGGCTAAGAATTAGATCCTGCCAGGGGCTTAACAGGGGAAAAACTTTTTATAATACTGCTGAGACTCTTGACTCTTCAAATGGCAAATGTCAGTTGCCATATGGCATATATCATCCACGTTAAAACAAAAACTCTTTGCGAAGGGAGGGCCTCAGTAATGTCTGAGATGGTAAGGAGCTTGCCAAGGGTCACATAGCCACTATTTGCTGACTTGGAGACTGGCTTTCTGTGCCAGCTACCTCTCAGAATATGAGGAGAGATGCTTTATTGCAAGTACTCATAAAAGGTGAATGATACAAATTCTACAATAATAATAATATTAACAATGGCTGACGTGTTATTACTTTGTGTTTTGCCAAATGAATGATATACATTATTTCATTTTGTCCTCACAATCCTGTGAAGTGGGTACTATACCCATTTCATAGATAAGAAACATGATACTTAGAAAGGTTAAATGACTTGTCATATAGCTAATCAGTAATGTAGGCAGAATTTGAACCCAAATCTCCCGATTTGTTCGTTACCACTCTGCCTCTAGTGATGAATTATTTTTCTTAATCAGTAGTTTTAAAGGATCAACAGCTATGACAAGTGATCTTATATGTGACCACTGAATAAATATTATTTTTCTTAGGGCAGGCTGCACTGAATCACCTTCTCTTCTCACTATACTTTCTTGGTGACTTTATCGGCTCCTATGGTTTCAAATATCATGCAGTTGACTCCCAAGTCTCTCTATCCTGTCCTAGTCTCTCTTCTGAATTCTAGTTCCATGGAGGTCTTAAACTCAAGGTGTCTAAAGCAGAAACTTATTATCTTTCCCTTAAAACTCAACCCTCTTCAAACTAATTTCTTTTAAGGGCACCACTATCCTTCTAGTCACATAGGATCATAACCTTGGAGTCTCCTCAGCTCTCCTCTCTCCCTCACCCCACATCTCCAGTCACTTGCCAAATCTTATTGATTCCACTTCTACAACAGTCTTCAAATCTATTCCCTTCTCCACTTCTAAAACCCCTATCTGTTTAGCAGAACCACCTCACCTCTTGACTGGACAGTTATTGCAATAGTCTCCTAATTGGTCTTCCTGCCTCCAGGCTCTCCCTTTTCCGGTCCATCTGCACATAGCTATCAGAATGATATTCTTAAAGCAGAGGTCTAGCCATGTCACTGAGCTGCTCAATAAACTCCAAGGGCCCTCTAGGATCGAATTCAGACCCCTCTGTTGGCTGTTTAAGCCCCTCCACAACCAACCTTTCTTTCCGGGTATATTATACACTAGTCCAAACAGCCAAACTAGCCTTGTTACTGTTCCTCCCACACAGCATTCCACTGCCTATCCCCATGCCCTTCTTTGTGTTGTGTCTGCCCCATACTTGGAATATATTCCTCATTTCCATCTCTTAGGATCACTTCCTTCAGTTAGTTCCCCATTTACTTAAGCCTCTCTTCCTGTCCCCCTAAGCTTCTGGTGCCTCTCTGCCAAGTTAGTTGGTACCCATTTGTGTGCATGCTGTGTGCTCCTATAGGAATGTGAACTCCTTAAGGACAAAAGCAAAAGCTTTTGTCTTTTTATTCCCAACGTCAAGCACACTACCTGACATGCTGATTAATTTATTTCTGTGTTTGCATTTTAGCAGATTCCTGTCTTCTCAGAGATAATAGTTTTGTTTTTCTTGTGTTAATTGGTGAAAAACAGGTAGACCTGAATGAAGAAGAAACTATTCTGATTATCCGACGTTTACACAAAGTGCTACGTCCTTTCCTGCTCAGACGGTTAAAGAAAGAAGTTGAAGCCCAATTACCTGAAAAGGTGTGTATCAGGTATCGTCAGGTATTTTGAGCCCACCCTGTCAGTGTCTCCCTTGACCCCACCCTAATCTTGCCATTTGCCTGAGTATCCTACTTGTATCTCAGATTCAGTGTGTCCAAAGCGAAATTTGACATGTTCTTTTGAGCTTGCCTCCCACTCAACTTCCAGAATCATTTTTAACTCTTCCCTTATGCTCCACAACCAATCAGTCACCAAGTCCAGGTCATAACTTTGCATCTCTGACATTGGTCCCCTTTCCACTCACACAGCTCCTCCGTTGTTCAGGCGCTCGTCACTTCTCCCTGAACAATTGAAATAACCTTCTCACTGGTCACCTTGTTTCTAGGCTCTCCCTTTGTTAATTCATCCTACCCACCTCTGTCAAAATTCATGAGGCATAGGGCTGACCATGTAACTCCTTGGTCGGAAACCGTCAGGGTTTCCCCATAGCCACCATGGTAAAACACTGACCCTTGGACTCCACCAATTGATTTCAGACCCACCTTTCCAGACTTACTTCACACGCTTGTGATCCTTGCCAATTGACTACTGTCTATTCCCCAGTCTCCTCCAGGTCTCTCCTGCCTCCATTTCTTAGTGCATGAATTAGTATTTAGAATATGCCATTCTCCCTCCTCATCTCTGCTTTTTGAAATCCTTCACTCCATCCTCACCTTCACCCCTCAGAATCCTTAGCCTCCTCCAAAGCTCAGCTCAAGGGCTGCCTCCTACACAAGACTTTTTCTGTTGCCCCTCAGCTTCTAATCATATACACTCCCACCCACCCCACTCCTATTATTTCGTATTTATATGTATATACATTGTTTCTTCCAATAGAACATAAATAAGCGCCTTGTCTTTAATATGCCCAGTACCTATCACAGTGCCTGGCACATAGTAGCCATTTAATAAAGACTTGTTAATTTTTGATTGATTTGTTCAAGGCCCAGTTCAGGTGCTATTTTCTCCATTAAGCCTTCCCTGGTTCTCTTTTTTCCAGTATTCTCTCCCCTCCCCTCTAATACCTAAAAGTAATCACCTCCTCCACATTTTCTAAAGCATTTGACCAGAATGTCTCCTTTACTCCAGTCATATTTTATCTTATGTTTACTTGTGAATATTATCTCCCCTAGCTGTCCATTCCCCCACCTTACCCCCCATAACCCAATTGAATTATAAGTTCTTTAAGGTCAGGGACTATCATTTTTCAGCATTATCTCCCAAGCACCTAGCATAGTATCTGCTACATAGTAGGTACTTAAAAACTGAATTTTCTTTTTCTTGCATGATAACCCTTCTAGAAAACAAGACATTGGTGACGTGCTAAGGGTGCTAGAGGTCTCAGGCCCATCAGGTTCTCTTTCCAGCCAGACCCTTAACTTCAGTCTACATTTTTATCCCACTGCCGTCCTTACTATGCCCTGCCATGAGAAGGGGGCTGGTGGATACCTCATACAGAATATTTAGGCCTTGCTGGCTTATCAAAAGAACTCCTTTCCATAAGTGGTATCTTTTGTGGCTTTCCAGGTGGAGTATGTGATCAAGTGCGATATGTCTGCACTGCAGCGAGTCCTCTACCGGCACATGCAGGCCAAGGGCGTGCTCTTGACGGATGGGTCAGAGAAGGACAAGAAGGTCTGGCATAGATCCTCGTCCATCCTTCTTCACTCCCTGCCAGGGCTTCAGAGACTTAAGAGCCTGAAAGTTGATAGGGATTCATTCCCCTTGCTTGCTTTTGGTTTTATTTAGCATGTAACATTATTGTCACTTTAACTGGCAGATTTCCTGGCCATTTTAACTATTGCTTGGCTTGGTTCTGGGGGCATTAAATTGGTGTCCACCCATCATTTTAAAATTAATCATTGTGATAATGACCAGCATGGTTCAGTACATGAGAGTTCATGGCACTTTGCACTAATTAGTCTTCCCCAGCATGTGCTGATCCTGTGTTTGAACATAGCTCCCCTTCTAAACTCCTTGGGAGCATTTGTCTGCAAGGTTGTCGAGTATTTCCTCAGTCATGTCTTCCTGCGTTTTGAAGACTTTGTGGACTTTGCCTTGCCAGCCTATCTTTCAGAATTGAGAAATTGTGTCTCCTCACTTGTGTTATCTGAAAATGATTTCGAGAGAGCTCAAACAAATCCTTAAATCCTTATCAATGGAGTATGTGAGAACTTTTTTTTCCATGTGAAAAATAAATTTTTTCCTAAAGTGAAAAATAGCCTTTTGTAATACCTTGGTATTCAGAGTGAATTAGTCATTTGTCAGTTAATGAGGAGAGCTTGTGGGTCACTCTTCCCAGGATTCTCTCTGAGCTGATCTTTCTGCTTAGGTCTGGGTTCTGACTGGGAAAACTGTTTTCATAGGGCAAGGGTGGCACCAAGACACTGATGAACACCATCATGCAGCTAAGGAAGATCTGCAACCATCCTTACATGTTCCAGCACATAGAGGTAAGGCAGGTGCCAAGGAGTCCTGTCACAGGGAGTATACATTACTGGGTTACAACAGAACTCGACTTCTGGTTTAGAAAAGTTTTTTCTTAGTATTCAGCATGGACTCAGGCATGGGTCTTCATGATCTCATCAGGTCAAAATGATGAACCCCTGGGTATTTGGTGCAAACAAAAAAGTAACTATTCCTTTGTTGCCCAAATGTGCCTTCTCGTCTTTTCACAGAGATGTACGAGTCCTGTTAAAAAGACAAAAGCCACCAAGTCCTGTTAATTTTTAAGCTATTTCCCATCTGGGGTTATCAAAAAGATTATTAATTTTCACCGTTGCAAAACTTTGATTAAATAGCCAATCTCTGGGCTTTCACATCCCAGGAACAGTTATGGATTGTAAAGTGAAGCAGAAATGTTCGACTTGGGGCTGAATACTCCAGAACTCAGTGAAGCCCCAACCAGACTAAACTATAATTGGGAAATGTTTAACAAAATAAAAATACGGTACAGTGTAGATAATGTTAATTTGTGGTTTTTGAAGTTCTTGGCCTACAAGGATCCATTTTATATTAAATTTGACCCCACTGATTTAGAACTTCTAAATCTCTGTTGGGCATAAATAATTGTCCTGTTTTGTTTGCAGGAGTCATTTTCTGAGCATTTGGGATTTACTGGAGGCATTGTCCAAGGGTAAGAGCAGCATTTACTTGAGATTTCCCATTTTGAGTATCCAGATGGAGATGGGCTTTTTATAATGTGCCTTTGATTAAAAAGCTCTGATCTTAACATAGTAGAACAAAATACATACGATTTTACTTGATTTGGGCTTTATTGTTATCAGTATAATCTACCACTAGGTATACATTTTAATTTTATTGTCTTTTGTTTTTAACCTCACTTTTATTTCTGAATATATCCTTTCACTTCCTCTACCTCGCAAGTCACCCTTGTAGCAGATTAAAGAAGAAAGAAACAGCTTAACAAAACCAACCACTAAATCATCCAAATGTCATAGGATATACAGTATTCCACACCCATAGTACCCTACCCTTGCAGAGAACGGATAGAGATGCATTTTCTCATTTCTGCAACCAAGCTAGGTCATCATTATAATTACACAGATCACCGCATTTCTTTTTTTTGTACTTTCCCATTTACATAGTTGTTATTGGATATATTATTTTTCTGGTTCTGCTTACTTTGGGTTAAATCAGTTCATATTTCTATTTTTTTTTTAAATTTATTTATTTATTTTTAGTTTTCAACATTCACTTCCACAAGATTTTGAGTTCCAGATTTTCTCCCCATCTCGTCCCTCCCCCCACCCCGAGATGGCATGCATTCTGAATACCCCTTCCCCTAATCTGCCCTTCCTTCTATCTCCCCCCCTTCTCTTATCCCCTTTGCTTTCAATTTTCCTGTAGGTCAGGATAGATTTCTATATCCCATTGCCTGTATATCATATTTCCCAGTTGCATGTAAAAACAATTTTTGCCGTTTGTTTTTAAAACGTTGGGCTCCAAATTTTCTCCCTTCCTCCCTCCCCACCCACCCTCATTGAGAAGGCAAGCAACTCGATACAGATTATACATGTGTAGTCATGCAAAACACTTCCATAGTAGTCATGTTGTCAAAAACTAAGTATATTTCCCTTAATCCTATCCCATCCTCCATTTATACTATTCTCTCTTTTGACCCTATCCCTCCTTAGAAGCATTTGCTTCTGATTATCCCCTCCCCCAATCTGCCCTCTCCTCTATCATCCCCCTGCTCTCTTGTCCCCTTCCCTCCCTATTTTCTTGTAGATAGATTTCCATACCCAATTGAGTGTATATGTTATTCCCTCCTTTAGAAAGCCAAATCCTATGAGAATAAGATTCACTCATTTCTTCTCACCTTCCCGTTTCCCCTCCACTGTAAAAACTTTTTCTTGTCTGTTTTATGTTTGATAGTTTACCCCATTCTACCTCTCCCTTTCTCCTTCTCCAAGTATAGTCCTCTCTCACCCCTTAATTTTATTTTCCACCCCTTCATCTTCAACTCATCCTATGCCCTCTATTTATCTATCTATCTATATATGTACATATATATAATTTTTTCCCTCCCACTACCCTAACACTGATCAAGGTCTCATGACTTACACATATCATTTTTCCATGCAGAAATGTAACCAGTTCAACCTTAATAAGTCCCTTATGATTTCTCTTTACTGTTTACCTCTTCATGTTTCTCTTGAGTCTTGTTTTTGAAAGTCAAATTTTCTATTCAGCTCTGGTCTTTTCATCAAGAATGTTTGAAAGTCCTCTATTTCACTGAATGACCATTTTTTCCCCTGAAGGATTATACTCAGTTTTGTTGGGTAGATGATTCTGGGTTATAATCCTATCTCCTTTGCCCTCTGGAATATTCCATTCAAGCCCTCCAGTCCATTAATGTAGAAGCTGCTAAATCTTGTGTTATCCTGATTGTGCTTCCACAATACTTGAATTGTTTCTTTCTGGCTGCTTGCAATATTTTCTCTTTGACCTGGGGACTCTGGAATTTGACTACAATATTCCTAGGAGTTTTCCTTTGGGTATCTCTTTCAGGAGGTGATTGGTGCATTCTTTCAATTTCTATTTTGCCCTCTGGTTCTAAAATAGCAGGGCAGTTTTCCTTGATAATTTCTTGAAAGATGATGTCTAGGCTCTTTTTTTGATCATGGCTTTCAGATAGTCCAATAATTTTTAAATTCTGTCTCCTGGATCTGTTTTCCAGGTCAGTTGTTTTTCCAATGAGATATTTCACATTGTTTTCTATTTTTTCATTGGATTTGTTTTACAATGTCTTAATTACTCATAAAGTCACTAGCTTCCAATTGCTCCATTCTAATTTATAAGGAAGTATTTTCTTCAGTGAGCTTTTGGACTTCCTTTTCCATTTGGCCAATTTTGCTTTTTAAGGCATTCTTCTCCTCATTGGCTTTTTGGACCTCTTTTGCCATTTGGGTTAGGTTATTTTTTTAGGTGTTATTTTCTTCATTATTTTTTTGGGGTCTCCTTTAGCATCACTCTCTGTTTTTCCTCTACTTCTCTTACTTGCTTCTCAGAATCTTTTTTGAGCTCTTCCATGGCCTGGGACCAATTCATATTTTTTCTTGGAGGCTTTGGATGTAGGAGCTTTGGCTTCGTTGTCTTCTTCTGGTTGTGTGTTTTGATCTTTGTCACCAAAGTAAGATAATACAGTCTGACCCTTTTTGCACTGCTTGCTCATGCTTCAGTATTTTTTTGGTTCTCCTTTAGCAAGCTGTTGACTTGTTTTTCATGATTTTCTTGAATCACTCTCATTTCTCTTCCCAGTTTTTCCTCTACCTCTCTTACTTGCTTCTCAAAATCCTTCTTGAGCTCTTCCATGGCCTGGGATCAATTCATATTTTTCTTGGAGGGTTTGGATATAGGAGCTTTGACTTTGTTGTCTTCTTCTTTGTCACCAAAGAAAGATTCTATGGTCTGACTTTTTTTGCAAGGTTTGGTCATGATCCCAGCCAATTAGTTGAATTAACTCTTTGTTAAGGTAGGAGTCTGCTTCCAGTGTGTAGAATGCACCATCCCAAGCTTCAGGGGTTTTGTGCAGCTGTTTTCAGAGGTACTTCTAAGGACCTGTAAATTTTCAGTTCTTTCGAGATGGTATGATAAGGGGCAAGGTGTTTACTCCTTTTGTGGCCTGTACTCTGGTCTATGAGTGACCACAAGCACTCTTTTCTGAGTGCTTTTCTGCCTTGGAACTGTGAGGAGTATTTCTCCTCCACCACCACGCCAGCATTCCTCCTCACCCCAGAAATGTGACCCAGATCCAAGCACAGGCAAAGCAAGAGAATCCTGCACCAGCAAAGAGATCCCTGCAGTCCCTCTCAGATCAGCCACTCGAATCCCCCTCAGTCTGTGGGCTGGAAGCTATGGAAGCAGCAGCTGTCCCGGGACCAAGTTTTTCTCTCACCACCATAGTCACAGACTTTTCCTGTTGACCTTCTAAGTTGTCTTTGGCGTTCATGGGTTGAGAAGTCTGGAAACTGCCACAGCTGCCTGCGATTCAGTCTTCAGAGGGCTGCTCCAGGTTCACTGAAGCCTGTTTTGCCTGTGCGCCTGTGCTGAGTTACATTCCTTTCCTCGCCCGGCACGATATACCTTTCTGATAAACCATCCGGATTGTCTTGGGCTAGAAATTTGTTTCACTCTGTCTTTTTGTGGGTTCTGCTGCTTTAGAATTTGTTTAGAGCCATTTTTTACAGGTATTTGGAGGGGTTTGGGAGAGATCTTAAGCAAGTCACTGCTTTTACTCTGCCATCTTGGCTCTACCCGCCCACCCTTCACTACCACCCCTCCCCCATTCATATTTCTTGCAGCTGAATAATATTCTATTACTTTCACAAATCACCATTTAAACAAATTGTTCCCTGATCAATGGGCCTTTAATTTGTTTACAATTCTTTGCTGCCACAAAAAAATGTTCTTATGAATATTTTGAAACCTACTCTCCTCTTGTCTGGATTTGGGGTTTGAAGGTTTTTTTAATGTGTTTTATAGTGAGCTTAACAATCATCAACAAAAACAAACATTTTATGATACAGAAAAGAACAGGGAAGAGTATTGTGTAAGAAACTGAACTTGTTATAGAGGTTTTTAAATATATGTATGTATTAACTTTAAACAAGATAGTAACAAAGTTGATCTATTTGTGTTCCCCTTTTGGCATTTTCTTCTCTTCATTATTTAAAATATTTTATTCATATTCTTTTTTCATGCCTACCAGTATGTCTTGAGTAGAAGCTCTGCCTTGTAACAAATATGTGTGTGCAAGCAAAACAAATTAATACATTGGTCATATCTAATTCTGTACCTTTAGTCCAGCAACTTTCTGCCAAGTAGAAGGAAGAATCTTTCATCATCAGTTGTTTGATGTCAGAGTTGTTTCTCCCCTCCTTATTGTGATCATCGTGTAAATTATTTGCTTAGTTTTGTTCATTTTACTCTTCATCACTTCATATAAGTATATGTATGTATTACATATCTGTATGTACATATATAGACACACACATGTAGATATATCTCTGAATCCATAATATTATCCCTTTCTTTTAGCACAATAAAATTCTATTCCATTACTTTATTTGTTTACCCATTCCCCAAATGATGGCCACCCATTTTGTTTCCAGTTCTTTGCCACCACATGAAGCGCTCCTTTTTTTTTTTTTTTTTTACAAATTTTTTTATTTTTAGTTTTCTGTGTTCACTTTTACAAGATTTTGAGTTCCAAATTTTCTCCCCTACCCCACGATGACATTTAAAGTGATATAGGCTCAACATATACATTCATATTAAAATTATTTTCACATTAGTTTTGTTGTAAAGAAGAATTAGAACCAATGGGAGAAACCACAAGAAAGAAGAAACGATAAAAGTAGAGAAAGCAAGAGCAAATAATATGCTTCAATCTGCATTCAGACCCCATGGTTCTTTTTCTGGATGTAGATAGCATTTTCCATCATGAGTCTTTTGGAGTTGTCTTAGATCCTTGCATTGCTGAGAAGAGCTAAGTCTGTCAAAGTCAGTCATCACACAATGTGGCTGTTACTGTGTACAATGTTCTGATTCTGCTCAGTTCAGTCTGCATTAGTTCATATAAGTCTTCCCAGGTTTTTCTGAAGTCCACCTGCTCATCATTTTTTATAGTACAATAGTATTTCATTACATTCATATACCACAACTTGTACAGCCATTCCCCTAGCTCATGGGCATCCCCTCAATTTCCAGTTCCTTTGCCACCACAAAAAGAGCTGCTTTAAATATTTTTGTACATGTGGGTCCTTTTCCCATTTCTGTGAAGAAGCACTCCTTTAAATGTTCTTGTACATACAAGTCTTTTTTGCTCATCCTTGACCTACTCGCCACCCCTTCAGTGTTAAAGTAAGCATAGAGTCATAAAAATCTCCCTCCTTTTCCTGTCTCAATGTCCTCTTTTTCATGTGCTATGTGTTTTTTGTTTTTTTTTGTACACCAGCCTGGATTTATACCGAGCCTCTGGAAAGTTTGAACTCCTGGATCGAATTCTTCCCAAGCTCCGAGCTACCAATCATAAAGTGCTGCTCTTCTGCCAGATGACCTCTCTCATGACCATCATGGAAGATTACTTTGCATATCGTGGCTTTAAATACCTCAGGCTTGATGGTGAGTTTAACAGAGAACTTTTTATTTGAAAACTGTCTTATAGTTGAGTGATTCCTTTCCCTGAGCTCTACTGAAAGCATCTCAGCTTCCTAATTAATCCTCACAAAACCCTGTGAAGAAAGCAAAGACTTCAAAGAATGATTTCTCCACTTTATAGATGATGAAACTGCTTCATAAGAGTTTGACTGTGGCCTCAGTTAATCTCTTATTAGAAACATATTTTAGATCGAGGATCCAGCTCTGGTCCCACTATTCTGCTGCCTTCCTGTCAGGTGCTTGAGCCAGGGTGGAGATGAGGGCCTACTGGCCGTCTTCCCTATTGGGACCAGTTCAGATTAGCCATTGTTTATTGACTGAGCTGAAGCTTAGTTAGTAGTTAAGGATCCTGGCTATGTTGTTACGTCCAGAAGGTTGACAGGAAGTGTTTAATTTTCATTTGATGACTTGAAATAACCTCTGAATTTTGCTTGGAGCTCCTTTGAGCACAGTTGTTATTGACCAGAGAGGCCTGGAAAGCTCTCTCCTATTCCCACAATGCAGTCAGATTGCTTACCCATGAATATAAGAAATGAAATGGCCATGGCCATTACTTGGTGAGAGAACTTGCATTTCTCAGTCTGGAGAGTCTTTCCTTTCTGTCCAAGAGGATTACTTAGGAAGTAGATGGTTTGCTATTCATTGGGGCTAGAGAAACATGATTTTTGTGTTCTTACCCTTAGAAATGTTCCTCTTTGCAAAGCAAGAAGTTGCCTCAGTAATAATATAGGACTTCACAGCCCAAACTACCTGCCTTTATTTCTCAAGTTAGTGAAAACAGTAATTCAATACTCCATTCACACTTGACACTGTGGGGGCCTGGTTGGTCACTGATACTTCTTTTGTAGGGTGTGTATCTGAATCCTTTTTTTTGGAGGGGGGAGGGGCAGTGTCGGTCTTGCCCATAGTTACTATGCCTCGTGCAAAGGACCATCCCCTACATCCTCCACCACCACTGAATACTGGGGGCAGTATTTCTAGTCACACTCTTGCCCAATCACTTAAGGCACTTATTTTGGGCTTTTTGTTTTTGTGAAAAATATGTTGAAAAATAAAGTTAGTTCATGGTATAAACTACATTTAAAAGTGTTTTATTCTTTACATATTCACATCTTCTTAAGTAAATGTTTACTTTTTTTTTTTTTTTTTTTTTGCTTAGGCAGTTGGGGTTAAGTGACTTGCCCAGGGTCACACAGCTACTCAGTGTCAAGTGTTTGGTCTGAGGTCGGATTTGAACTCAGGTCCTCCTGACTTCAGGGCCAGTGCTCTATCCACTGCGCCACCTAGCTGCCCCAAATGTTTCCTTAGATTAAAATGACCCCATAGCCATATTAGGGGACTTGATTTATATAAAGAACTTTACAAAATTTGTGTGTAAAGCTGGGTAAGGTGCCTATTCCTTCCTGGGTTGGTCATTTTATTTAGACTTCTAACTATGGGATGATGTCAGATTCCTAACCCTTTCCTTCTTTGGTGCCCATCAGGAACCACAAAAGCTGAAGACCGTGGTATGTTGCTGAAAACCTTCAACGAACCAGGCTCTGAGTATTTCATTTTTCTCCTGAGTACTCGGGCCGGGGGTCTTGGGCTAAACCTCCAGTCTGCAGATACTGTGATAATTTTTGACAGTGACTGGAATCCTCACCAGGTAAAAGAAAAATGGAGCTAAGTGCAGGGACTCTTGATAGATTCCAAAAGCAAAAAAAAGCTGTTCTCCCTTCTTCCCCCCCCCTTATGAGAAAGGGGGCACAGTTATGCTTCCATCTTAAGTTTAAACACTAGCTTCCTTCCTATCTCAGTTATTCTGAGTGGTTTAACACATGAACTGCAGAGGACCTATAGAATCTCTTTCTCTCGAGATGATTAAAACCTCTCACCATCTGCTTTGGATGGTGTAAGTGTGAATTCACTTAGAGACAAGTAGCTGAACTGGATGGCCTCTTGAGATTCCTTCTTATACTCAATTCTATAAAAGCACGAACACATAATATCAATATTCACAGGTAAATCAAAGGATAGCTCATTCATAGTGCACTGAGGTGTAGAGTCTGAGATAGGAGACATGTTGCCTCCCTCTTTTCCACCTGAAAATAGCTGTTTTTCTCAGGCTCTCATTTTGTGCAAAGTGAGAGATTACTAACTCAGCTAAAGAGAAAAAAGTCACTGTGAGGGACTTGCCCTTCGTATTTCCTGCCAAGGACATATGAATGCAAAGTGTGTATCCCTCCTTGTGGAGACTTAAGTACTGTTTTTCTCCTCTAATTTAGTTGGTGACTATTTATCTGTCTCTGTTCACTTTGTTCCTTACTCGTGTGTCCAGATATAACCCAGAGACAGATTAAGCAAGAAAGAAAAAAAAAAAAAAAGAATGAGAAAAGGGGCAGCTAGGTGGCGCAGTGGATAGAGCACCGGCCTTGGAGTCAGGAGGACTTGAGTTCAAATCCAGTCTCCGACCAGACACTTGACACTTACTAGCTGTGTGACCCTGGGCAAGTCACTTAACCCCGATGGCCTCGCACACAAAAAAAAAAAAGAGTAAGCAAGAAATGATCCTGGGTCTTGTGCTCTTGGTAGTTCACCAGCTCTAGAAGCCAGTGCTCTCATTTGTACTAAAGAAGTGCCTAACATTGTGCTGTGCGCATGGGAAGCACTCAGTAAATATTTATTGCTTTTGTTATATTCATGAGGCAGCCATGGAAGAGAGTGTGTATGGCAAAAAACAGAGCTTCCCAAGAATGAAGTAGTAAATGCTGAGCTTTCTTCCCGTAGCCTTGAATCCCAAAGAAGGTAAAAGCTTCCGAAGGAAAACTGAAGTGGCAGGTCCTCCTAGGCCGCCTTCCAGAGGTGGTAATGGCCCTGGCCTCAGCGGCTTCGTTCATCCATGATTCATAGAAAGATGAACTGGTTTTCTCAGTTGTTCTAGTGAAAACCATCAGCAAAACTAACCTTTTAATTGAGCTTCTCTCTCTAGAGGTATTATTCCCTCTAATAGAAGCTTTTTAGGCAACTCCATGCTTGGCTTTGGGAGTATCAGATGTACCAGGCATGTCTTTTGACAAAGGCTCAACCTTCTGAGTGACATTTAAAGAACCTGATTTTTTTCCTAGAGAAATTTGTATTGAAATGACAAGCAAACAATTTCCTCTTTCAGGACTTACAAGCACAGGACCGTGCCCATCGTATTGGGCAGCAAAATGAGGTCCGGGTCCTCCGTCTTTGCACAGTTAATAGTGTGGAAGAGAAGATCTTGGCTGCAGCCAAATACAAGCTAAATGTTGATCAGAAGGTGATCCAGGCTGGTATGTTTGACCAGAAATCCTCCAGCCACGAGAGAAGAGCTTTCCTCCAGGCGATCCTAGAGCATGAGGAACAGGATGAGGTAGGAGGCCAAGACGGACCCTGCCCTCTCTCTTTCCAAGTGTGAATGGTGAATGCATGGGTGCCTTTCCCTTTTTTCCATTTTTTTCCTTTTTTTTTTCTTTTTTTTCTTTTTTCTTTCTTTTTTCTTTTTTTTTTTTTTTTGCTCTTATGTTTTTTACATCCCTGGAATAAAGGGAGTGTGGGCTGAAAGGAAAGAGGATGAGTACTTGCTTTTCTTTAAAGTGACTTTTAGTGCTGGTGAAAGATGCCGGATTGACAGCCCTGGAGACTGAAGTCCTCTATTTATCCACAGAGCAGACACAGCACGGGCAGCGGCAGTGCAAGCTTCGCCCACACTGCCCCTCCGCCAATGTGCCTCAACCCTGACTTGGAGGAACCACCTCTAAAGGTGAGAGGGGTAGTTCAGTCTCCATGCCCATTCAATCCTTGGCTTCTGTGCTGAGGTGGCCAGCAAAGGGCCAGATCTGACAATGTGTGTGTGTGTGTATGTATGTGCTTTCTGTTGCCATGTGGATACTTGTCCACTGGAAACTGGACTGAGACCTCAACCTCATTTCCCATGGACCACCGAATAGCTGTCAGGTGGTAAAGACTGTCGGTGTTGAAATCCACTCACTTCAGCTACTTTTAGAGTCTCCACAGTAGAATTAAGTATTTAAAATCTTCTAGGAAGAAGATGAAGTTCCAGATGATGAAACTGTCAATCAGATGATCGCCCGACATGAAGAGGAGTTTGATCTTTTCATGGTGAGCTTCAAAGGCTGGGATAGTTACAGTCAGTAGAGAGGGCCACAGGCAGTGTGGTATTTCTTGCTGAGAGGAACTTCATTAGGAGAGACAGAGAATATAAATATTAAAGGGATGCTTTTACAACAGTTCATATGCATCTACAAGATTGTTTCATAACAGATAATTTTTAGTAAAACACTAATATTACTAACCAGACCCCAAGATTTGATTGGAGAGAGAATGAGCCCCATCATTCTTGATAAGGAATATGAGTCTGAAGGGTGAACTAGAATTAAACTCTCATCTCTCCCATGGGTATGTCTTGTGGTAAACAGAGCAGTAATTGTGGTCTTCACTTCAATGTGTTGACTTGCTGAATCTGAATGGCTCTCTTGAAGGGAGAATTCAGTCCATCAAAGGCTAATGGGTTTGAAGAAGAGATAGTAAAATAACCTTTGTTTGCTGCTTCAGTAGTCATGGATTTCTTAACTCCATCTTCTCTCAGAACAGAAGTGATGACTATATAACCTTAACTAGGAGCCACTTTGTCAGCCTGGCCCCTGGGAGGGCAAAATGACGTCTTCCTTCAAGGAAGGTTTAAGCCCTGGTATCCTTGCATCCATGGAGCAAGCCAGAGGCTGTTCTAGAGCATAGCAATACACTGGTGCATTAGAATAAGGGCTGTCCAACAGCATCTGCACCTGAAAAATGAGAACTATGCTGTATTTCTAGATTTGACTGTGTTCTGTGCTGGAATAGGGATAAAGCTACTTTGTGAGCTATAGTCTCTTTTAGTGCTTATGGAAAGCCTTTCCAGCTAAATATACAACTTAAGTGTCTGATTATCGTGCATATCAAATATGATACATATGTCATATTTATCTCACTGTCACCCAAGGACTTTGTAGCAGGAATGGAAATAGTCAGTGGCCCTCTTAATAATTGTTCCTGATTTTCCCACGGGCCCCTGACTTCCTCTCACTGTGTCCTAGCGCATGGATTTGGATCGTAGGCGAGAGGAAGCTCGAAACCCCAAAAGAAAGCCACGCCTGATGGAAGAAGATGAGCTTCCATCTTGGATCATTAAGGATGATGCTGAAGTTGAGAGGCTGACCTGTGAGGAAGAAGAAGAAAAGATGTTTGGGCGAGGCTCCCGCCACCGTAAAGAAGTTGACTACAGCGACTCACTGACCGAGAAGCAGTGGCTCAAGGTATATACTGTAGGTGATGGCTTCATTCTGCACTGATTTTTTTTCAGACTACCCTTGTTAGTGTCCTGGGGACCTTAATCTGTGCTCAGAAACTAGTCTTCTGTCCAGTGGGTTAGTCTTGAGGGGGAATTTTATTTGAAATCTGACTGGCTTCCGGCAGTCTTTACTCAAGTTATTTTTTATTTCAATGTCAGTGAGGCTTAAGTAACACAGATATTAATACAAATGTAATTCCTTTACAAGAGAAATAAGTTCCCTTGAGTATATCAGACCATAATATTCTCCATGAGCTCCACCTTGATTTGTGTTGCCTAACAGGTGTCCTCTGAGAATGTAAAAACTAATGAGTTTATCTAAGTATATTTCTGTCTAGGAAAAAGTGTCTTCAGCTGGACAGTAATGAAAAATTGACAAATTTATTTTCTTGCTCTGTCCTTTTTTCTATGCATATTTCATTCAGAATACCACTTTTCTGTTATTAAAGTGGCTTATGTATGAGACAGTTAACTGGTTTACAGTTTATCCTGCTTTAAAAAAATAAATAACCTAATGAGTTTAATAAATTAAAGTCTGTACTATGACCATAAGGCTAGATTCTAATGTCAGCCCTGTGCAGTGGGCTAGGAGTCAGAAAGCCCTGAGTTCAAGTTCTGCCTAAGATGCTTCCTAGCTGTGTAGCCCTGGGCAAGACAGTTTAACTTCTCTCAGCCCCAGTTTTGTCATCTCTTAGAGGATTTGGTGGGCTCCATGGTGCCTTCCAGCTCTTAAGTCTGTGACCCAAAGAAATGAGAAAATTTTCCTCTTCCCCTTCTTTACAGTGTTAGGGGGTGGTGTGGACACACAATTGCACATACTCTCACATTCAGTTGACATGTTGATTAGTCTTACTGACCTACTTTTCTTTCTCTTTTATTCTTTATTAAAAGGGATGACTTACTAGGGAGGGCAGGCCGAAAGGGAATATTGGACACTGGAGATGATGTAAAAACCAAAAGATCGATAAAAATTTTTTTTTTTTTTTAAAGAAATCCAGCATCAGAACCTGGCCTTACTTTGGCCATAAAGTCAGCCACCAGGAACTTCCTGGTCAGAGCGTGGCCCACTCTCATTTCTTTCCGTTGATAATTTCCATTTAAATGTTGTTAAAAGCCAAGAGCTGACAGAGCACTATGTTGCAGCTGTTGATTTCTGTCCATATATTGTCCCAAAAAAAGACCAGAGGAAACAGATACATGAAGTATATTCAACTTGGTTTCCAGAGAGCGAGGTGGGGCAGATGATGTGATCACATAACGGAACCGACCAGCCTCACCTGTCCCACCACAGGCCACACCCTTGCTGAGTTTTATTTCCAAGTAACTCTCAGTGTTGTTGACTGTTGCTTTCCTCTACCAGCCTGTAAAGCCAGTCTGCTTACTTTAGATCTCACAGGCTTTCCAGAAGTGTGTACACTCACATGTGTAGCTTGCAAAAGATTTTAAATGCGGAAAAGGATTAAACAAGCCTGTTAGGTCAGGGCAGTGGGTGCGAAGTGAAGGTGAAGCAGTTTGGGCCTCTGCAGCATCTGACCTCAAGAGGCCTAGAGCCGTGATGAAAGTCACAGTAAAGAGAAACCAGTTTCCTGTAGACAGGGCTGGGGGTCTGCTGCATGTCTTACTGGGTGGAATGGCAAAGTCTGAGACACAAATTCAGCTCCTAACAAGGAGACTGTCTTATGAGAGAAAAATACTGGGGAAGTGGACCACCACCTTGGGGACAGGCCTCTGCTGGACAGCCATGAAGTCCCTATCTTCTTGGGCAGGAAAAGTCAATTGACAGAGATACCCCAAACCATACAGTCTTAGAGCTGGAAGGGGACCTTAAAGTTAATCTATTCCAACCCCCTCATTTTACCAATAAGAAAACTTGGACCCAGGTAGCTGATTTGATCAGTCTCCTGACTTTTAGTAGTCTAGTGTTCTTTCTTCAAGGGTGAAATTATCCATGGGATGTTTTCATTTGTAGCACTCATTAAATTAAACAGAATAAGTGCAACAATATTTAGATAGCACAGCAAGCAAACTGAGCCAGATTTGGGATATGTGGCATAGTGCTCACCCTCCCTTCCCTTACTGTTAGCAACCCTTCCCTTAGCTTTGTGTATGAATGAGTTGTTTCTGTTGTGTTCCTCTCCCTAAATAATCTGGATGGTGGTTGTTCTGTTTTACTACCACTGACCTTGAAGGCCATAGAGGAAGGTACACTGGAGGAAATCGAGGAAGAAGTCCGACAGAAGAAGTCATCTCGGAAGCGCAAACGGGACAGCGATGCTGGCTCTTCAACACCAACAACCAGTACTCGCAGCCGTGACAAGGATGATGATAGCAAAAAGCAAAAGAAACGTGGCAGACCCCCTGCTGAAAAGCTCTCCCCAAACCCACCAAACCTCACCAAGAAAATGAAGAAGATTGTGGATGCTGTGATCAAATACAAAGACAGGTAAGTGAAAAAAGGGACAGAGCAGCCCCTTCACTCCGTGATTGATGGCTTGGCTGTGAGCAGGAGGATGGGGTACAGCCTGAGCCCAGTGGGTATCACAGCTAGACTGGATGTCTTCAGTTGTGCTGACGGAGAATTTGGTTAACTATCTTTTTCTCTGTGCTTCCTTGGTATTACCAAAAAAAATGGACCATAAGGGAAAGTCTCTATGTCCAGAGAGCTCTTCAGATTGATGCAAAGCAGCCAAGAGAGTCTACATCAGTTACCCCATCTTGATCCCAGGCTCACAGATTCTAAATGCTATAGCTTTCAACAGACCCGTTTACTAGACATCTGCCCACCCACATCTGGTTGCCAAAAGTACCCAGTGCTGCACGCTGAGGGCAAGCTTTTCCCTTTTGTATAGAGCTCTTTGCTATCTCCTTAAGTTTTCTGGCAAACTTTGTGGAGGGGGGCAGGGGACCAATTAGGCTGTGATTTGCTACATATCCTCAGCCTTTCAGTTTCAGGTTCTCCCTAGGTGGTTACAGGCGCTCTTCATTTGCGGCCCATTGCGTTGAGTTGTTTGTAGGGTAGTGTGGTGTATCCTTGGATTTTCAGTTGAAACATGCCTTTGCATTAGAGGAGGTGCAGCTATCTACATTTGGAGGGGCTTAGGATTCTGTGTGAGACTGGAAAGTACTGCAGGGAAAACTTATCTTGCTTTAGCCCCGTTTGGCTGCTTCGCCAAGCACAGCAGTTTCAGAAGGAAGTGATTTTTCCTGATGTCTTGAGCGCCACTTAGGAGCCCCAGACACCAGTAAGGGAGTTAAGAAGATGATAGCTAAAAACGTGCAGGCAATAAGCCTCAGAGATTAGCCCCAAGAAATGGCAGCTTTAAAAGTAAAAAAAAAATAATAATAATATGCAAGGATAGTTTAAATAGGCTCTATTCTTGATCAGAGACAAAGTTCTCTCATTTGATCTTGATTGATTAGCATTTTATATTCTGTTGCTTTCCTTTGGCCAGATGGATGTACAGCTGTAAGACACATACCATAGACTCAGTCCGTGGTTCATGCTACCCTATTGAAACAAAATGTCATTTGATAAATTCTCATATGGGTTTATCTTCCATAATTTTTAACAGATTCAGGAAGATCTGGTATGTGAGGAAAAGTTGCAGAGGTCTAGACATTATTGCACTACAGAATATTATTAGTGGGAAGAATATGCCCATCTTACAATGGGCATATTACTCAGAACACTTATATTTGGTGAAACTATAATAGTGATAGTATGCATTTGTTTAAGGCTTTAAAATTTGCAAAGCACTTTTCTCACAGTAATCCTATAAATCAGACAATGTAAGTATTGTCACCACTTTAAAGAGAACTAAACTGAGGGTTGCAGAGATGAAGTGATTTGCTAAGGGTCACACCAGTCTTAATTTAGACTCAGGTTTTGTAACTCCACATCCAGCGCTTTCTACTATACCACACCTTCTCTGCATCCATACCTTTATCCTCTCCGGGGGGATTATATTCAGTGAGGTCAACAGTTCTATATAAGGATCTCTGCTAGGGAAAGGAGCAGTGCGAGAGAGGGAGAGCCTTACTGCTTTTCTTGTTCCCAAGCTGTGCCCATTGTCTTGGCTCTTTCTGGGAATGTTCAAAGTGTCAGGCTCACAGTGTGCCTTTGGAGACTTTTTTCAAAAGACCGTGGAATCGGGTGGAAGAATTGGCCTCCTGTGTGTCTGTCTGAAATTCAGCAAATCCAAAAAGCAACCCTGGGATAAAGGTTTACAGATTGTGGTTGGAGACAGAACCTCACCTTCTCCAACTAGAGGATGCTGTGCAGAAACACAGTAAAGGGGAATGATATTAGAGCATGTTTTTCATTGAGACTCAAAACTCACTAAAACACAAGTGCCAACTCTAGGGTGGGCATCAGGTTCCTTCAGAAGTGGTCACCAGAGCAATAGCTGTTCTTAAGGAGAGTGGGGTGGGTGGTTAGAGCAGGTGACCTTGAATGTGCTTTTCCCATACTCCTATTAATTATCTCTAAGTGTCTCAGTTCATTGTCAAAATTACAATAACATGATGAACAGAGTAGAACTAAGAGCAATAGGAGATGTTCCAGAGAAGCAGATTTTGGCTCAGTGTGTGAAAAAACTTCCCAATGATTAGTGCTGACCACAGGTGGAATGAGCTGCCTCCCAGATCACATTCTTTCGCTTAAAAAAATTCTTCAAGGAGAAGCTGTAGAGGAGACTCCTGCTCCAGGATAGGTTGGGCTAGACTTTGAGATCTCAGCCATTTCAGAGAGTCTGTGATTATGGAACAGAAACAGTCTTCCCTGGGCTGGAGCAGCCCCATGTAATCTCTCCTCTCCATGCTGCCTCCTCAGGCCCATTGACTTAGCAGGAATTGGTCTTTTGATGACTGAGCTAATCTATTTCATCCTTATCTTTCAAGATTATTTTTGGGTGTGTTGGGTTCTTCTTGTCATTTTCCCCCATTAGCTATCATTTTAATTGGCAGCCATTGATAGAACACTTACTATGTACCCAAATGTGCTTTGGGGGCCTGGGACACTGATGGGTATGCCACATGGTGCCTATCCTTGTGGGATGTGCTCATCAGAAATAATCACTTCAGGGAGTGTGTGCTAAGGGAGTCCCCCTGGGGTGGTGGGAGCAGGTATGTATACTCTGAGAGTTGGAAGGTGCAGATTCTTAGGCAAATCACCTTCCCTTTTCTAAGCCTCAGTTTCCTTGTGAGTGCAGAGATATGGTGGTCATCAGTAGGATCATGATCAAGGGTCAAGAATTGGCATACGAGTTATTATTGGAAAATAAGTGTTAGAAATGAATGATTAGAAGAGAAGGAAAGTGAGGGCTTCTCATAGCAAACTTAGCAAACATGCACAGCTCGGTGCTGTACTGGTGCCCTCAAAATGCAAGGAGGCCAAAAGGATATTGTCTGGACTATTCAGGAGCTCCTCTGTAGGAAAAGAACCCGAGGGAGGAGAAGGTACAGAAGGAGTACAGTCTGTACTGTGCCAGAGGAAGGGATACACCGCCCCCCCCAATATATATCCATTAATTCATTCAACATCATTTATTAAGTACATGCTAGGGCTGGCTAGGAATACCAAAAAAAAAACTTCTATCTTCAAAGAACCCATTGGGTAGAATGGACAATGTGCACGGATTTAAAAAAAATGGAACATATGCAGGGGTGGGTGTGTGCTTTTGCACATCCATATACATGTATATACATATGTGGTAAAGAAGGCTTTAAAATTAGGAAAGACTTCTTGTGAGAAGTGGCCCTTGAGCCAATGGATTATGTGAGTCAGAGATAAGGGAATAAATGCTAGGGATGGAGGGAGAGGGCGGGGCAGAGAGCATATGCAAAGATCCAGAGTTGGGAGATGCAACACAAGTGAGCTAGCCTGGTTAGAACATAAAGTGAGTGAAGGAGAAGCTTAGAAACACAGGCTAGAGTAGATTGTGAAGGGTTTTAAACAACAGAGTTTATCTTCCTAGCAGAAAGAAGCCTTCTGAAGCTGAGTGCACAGTGGAGTGACATGATCATACCTTACTTTAAAAATGTCAGTTTGGCAGCTGTCAAGGATAAATAAAAGAGGGGAGAGTGGGAGGCAGGGAGACCAATTAGAATTCTGGCCATTTGCAATAGTCCAACCAAGAAGTGATAAATACCTGAACTCTAGTGATCATGTGAGCATAGAAAAGGAGACAGATGTAAGAAATGTTGTAGTGGTGGAATGGACCAGACTTTGTTGCCTGATTGGATTTGAGGAAGGAAAAGAATCCAGGATCATTCTTTATTATGTAAACCAGGGTGACTAGAAGGAAGCAGATGTCAGGAAGTTGGGAAGATAGGATGTCTTAGGGGAAAAGATAACATGCTCCATTTTGGACCCACATTGAATTTGAAACGGATGCCTTCGGGCCCTGCAGTGAGTAGTGCAGGACTGGAACTGCAGAGGGATATGAGGGCTGGATCTAGGAATCATCTGCAAAGAGAAGATGGCTTACTTTACACTCTCGATCTACAGTGGTGGTGGAGATGACAATGTTTGCATTCCTTTCCTCATCAGCTTGTGAGGAATGTGTAAACAGTAAAGGGCCACGTGTTGGCTTGGTTTCAGTCCCAGGTCTTCCATTAACTTTCTGTGAAGCCTCAGGCCCTTCCCCTTTCTAGGTGCCTTTGCTTCATCTGTAAAATGAGGGAGTTGCATTACTGTTATTTAAGTCCCCACAGTAAGACTGTATTTAGAATATATTGTTCAGTTTCATGAGAAATGTCCACACAGTAAGAGTACTTGAATATCGCTGACATCTGAGAGGAGTTTGGGAGGTTTGCAGACAAGTCTCAGTACTAATCATGGTTTTGTTTCATTTCCTAAGAACTTCCTTTGAAGTGCTAGGCAACCCTGCACTGGTAGGACTGCCTGGTGTATGGGGCAAGAGGTACAAAGGCAGGGGGCACTTGGTGCTGGGAATGGTAAAACAATATCCCTTCATCACCAGTGAATGAATGGCAGAAATCATTTGGGTCTAAGATACCTTCACAAAGAAGGAGGGATTCAAGTTAGATCTGAAAAGATGGTTAGGATTTGGTGTCAAGAATTCAGTTCAGCGAACATCTAAGGGCCTCCTATGTGTAAGGCTATGCACTGAATGCTGGGGAGGTGACATCCCCATAGGATGGTATAGTTGTTCGAGCACTGGACCTGGGGAGTTAGGGAGATGAGGGTCAAAGCCAGCCTCTACCACCATGACCAGGGGCCAGTCACCTGAACTCTCGAGTTTCAAGTTGGCTCCATGTTTTCTGAAGGAAATCTAGAGTTATGTGACTTACTTGGGATAATTTATGTAAATATGTGTAGTATTCAGTTATTATTATTGTTCTCACCTTTTATGGTGAAATTCTTTTTTAAATGGTTCTGGGACAAGTTGCTGTTCCATTGTTATCCTTTTGAACTTTTGTTCAGATGTACTTTTTGTAGTTGGTTACAAGTAGTAGGATATAAGCTAATCTTCTGTAGACCTAGTAAAAGCATCCTTAGTATAGCACCAGTAGCAGAAAAGACAGTGAGGATGATACACACCTTATCCTGTTCCCATGTGGTTTTCATCTCCCTGCCTGTCTTCTATAGAGCTTGGAGATTGAATATTCAGTGTGATGACATCTATCTTAAAAATTGTTCCTTAACTGTTCTCTCCAGGTGATTGTTCAATCTCTGATAATAGTCCACAATATAGTGTATTGATTGAGTTCTCTAGGTTATTTTGAGATCCACGTTTATACTATGGAGATTTGTCATCTGTACACCTAAGACCTTCTGGTATTCTAGCCACCACGTCCAGTTTTCTAGGTATCCTGTGTGTAGTAGGTACAAAATTTTTACAGCCAGCAGTGATGTTACATTGTTGCCACCATTTCATTACATAATATATGTTATTTTTGTTACTGCTACTACTACTACGCATCACACACTTAATCATTTGGCCTATGTTAGGCCTCCCATTTCATTTTTTGATAAATTCCTTCTTATGTTAAGCTGAAACCTACATCCCTGATCTTCTACATACTGGCTCTGGTTCTGCCCACTGATCAGATCAGGTTGTGGGAGTCCTTTAATGCCAGGTTAATGAATTTGTACTTTATCCTATGGGGACAGGGAAGCTATCAAAAATATTTGAGAAGAGAGTGCCCTGGACAGAGGGGCACTTAGCAAGATTAGTAGTGTGTATACCTAATACCTGGTAATCACTAATTTTTGGTCATATGGATTTATGGGTTTTGAAAGTTTTCCGCAGGGCTAGGGAAAGGATTTCAGGGATTACTTATGTTGATGGCTCCATTTGCCCATCTGTGTAGACATTTCCTCCCAGGGTATAGGTCTCCACACTTCCATGTCTCTTCATCCTGTATGATTTTTATCCATACCTTTGTGTAATTACTTCATTGAGGATCTACTTCCTCTGGTTCTTCTGATATTTCCGAGATACCAGTGTAGCACTTGGGCTGGCCATCTGTCCAATCCTTGCTAAAAGACCATCTCACTGCCTTTTCTGGTTGTATCTTCCAATTTAACTTATAAAGATGTCACTATGGGTGTGGCTTAGTTCCTCTGTTAGTTTATCCACTGTCCCAAGAACCTACTTTGAGTATCAAACAAAGTAAACAAGTTTCAGTGGTTAGATTCAAGTTTATTAGATGATTTACAACCTTTGTGATTCTGACCACTGTCTGCCCCCTTTCCTATTGCTGTCATAGCTGAAGCAGAAGGGAGCCAAACTCCTACTAACAAGCTGCTCTGTAGTTAGTGAGTGTAGACCTCAGGCAGCCATGTGTCTCAAGGCCTCTACTTGAAGGCTTTTTCAGCTAGGTGTATTATTGTGTACCCAGTTGGGTATACCTTTGAGGAATAGAGAGTAACCTTGACATCACACTGAAGCATCTGAGGAAGAAACCTAGGTTGGCAATTCTGGGAGTCTCCTTGTTCTTTCTGTTCTAGTGTTGATTGGTTTCTAGGCAGGTTTATGTCTTCATTCTCTGTCCTGTTGTTTCCCTACATGCATAAAATAGATGTGAAGTTCCCAAGGACTGCAGGGGGAAGAGACAACTTGAAGGATCTCTGATTCCCTCCCTGTGCATAGTCCTGCTTCTGGGGCAGGTGATATCCCCTTCCACACCTTAGTAAAAGGTTTACTGAGTTAACCATGGCCAAAAAAGTCCAACATGCTGACCAGCTCTCTGGTTCCAAGCCTCTCTTCATTTAGCTAGACTGGTTCTCAGATAGCATATGGCCCATCACCCAGCCCATGCTATCTCTGCAGGACTTGCCTGCCTGGCCTTGGAGAATCCAGTCTTCCATCTACACTTTGGTAGTAGAGAGGAAGAGGGGGGAAAATACGTAGTGTTTGTTTCTTCTGACCCATGATGAATAAAGCCTTTAAAATGAAATCACTGTGGGATATCATTTTGAGTGTGGAAAGGCCAGGCATACACTTGTGCAGCTGGCAGGTTTCAATGCAAGATTCTTTCTTGTCTCAGAGCATATCTTCTTTTCCTGTATACTGAGAACAAATAGTACATTGTACTCTCTCAAACATGCACAAGCCCCATTCACCTCCAGGGGGCACCGTGGTCCACCTTGTTGACTCACGGACCTCATCGGCCTGCCTGTGAGTTAGGGACTGACTGTGAGATGGGTTCCTGCGGACAGACAGCAGCAGCAGCCAGTGTCATTACCTCCATTTTTACAGCTGAAACTGAGGCTCAGGAAGAGGAAGTGACTTGCCCTTGGTCCCAAAGCTAGGGAGGGTTGGAGCAGCTCCTTTGAATGTGGGGGACGCTGGCATCAGCATCCATTCCTCCATGCGTTTCCTATAGAGATTAGGAACCAGGAGCTTACTACCCTGCCCTGCCCTGCACAAAATATGCGGGACAGAGAAGCATCAGAGCAAGTCTTAAGGGGGTAGAGTTGAAAAGAAGTTGAAAACAGCTACTTCCTGAGCCTGTGACCTGGAAATCCACATAGATCCTGAAAAGCGCCCTTCGCTATTGGAAGGTAAGACTTTACATTTATCTGAATTCAGAACCATCCAATTCTATCTTAACCCATTTCCACAACCTGTTCCTGCTGATCTGATGTTTTATAGCAAAGCTGCCTCCCTCTGCAGCCCACCTGCCTGCCTCCTTTGTGGCTAGGCTGGGGCCTCAGGCCTGCCGGGCAGTTCTTCAGTCTCTGAGCAATTGTCTCTGAGGTAGCGTAGTTTTGGTAGCAGCCCACTAAACTGCTCTTTGTTTTTGTTTCTTATTTCTCCTTGCAGCAGAGTGACGAGCAGTGTGTAATGTGTAGAAGCTTCTCCACACTAGCCCAAAACAACATGACTTATAGCTGTTGAACTATGGAAGATCCATTTCCAAATGCACCATATTGTTAAACTGGCCAGACTTGTCCTCATCTCTAAGAAATGTTCTACAAACGTTTAAAAAAAAAATCCTTCTTGGCCAAAAGTGAAAAGGACCTTAATGAAGTTCAATCTGGTCTAATTCTCCTTCCATCTCCTGTGACATCAGCATCATCTTCAGCCAAACAGCTACAACCAGTCATGAGGCATCGTAGCAGCTGCCCCCTTTGAAAGCAGGATCCCCCTACCCCCTTCCCCAGGGATCCAGCAGCCCTTGGTCTGAGCAATTGCATATTGTCTGCTAGCAAATCATTGTCAGCAGCTGGAAATACAGCTTAACTAGATAGTTTTTAAATGACTGAGACCAGAAGGTGGCAGTCTCTGATCAAATATCTTTCCGATGGAAGCATGAATGTTCTTAAGACAATAGGAAGTACCGGCAAACTGCTCATGGACCAACCCTGGGATAAAGAAGCCCCAGAGCATTTCAGAAACACCCCAGCATTTCTTTTTTCTCTTAAGAGCTTTGATCACTACAGAACATACTAGCTGAAAAACACGAGGTCTTCTACTAGACCCAAGGCCTGATGAAGCCCTGGCCTTGGTAACTGAAGATGGAGGAAATATAAAGCAAGTCAGAATCCCTGGTGGGAGGAAAGCCAATTGTGGCCTCTGCACATACCCTCATGGCGTTTGAGTTGGAAACTTGACAGATAAGCCAAGGAATGTGTCAGTGCGGAGGCCTCTGCTCTTTGTGTGGCTGCTAACTCAGAAGAAGGAAAGACAACAAGCTCATGACACCCAGGTGACAGGACAACCCAGGAGGGCAGAGAGGCACTGGGGAAGCTTACCAGTGTCTTTAAGAAGCAGTTACTAGTTGAGGATATTAAACTATCCTAAAGCCTCAGGAATGCTACACCTCAGGAAGTTCAGCCACAGAATTCCCTGCAGTGTCTAAAGCAGGGGCTGCCTCTGAATTTGATGATGGCCTCTATTCAGAGAGCCCGGACAAAAGCAACTACTTGTTGAGAATTTAAGGCAGCATGACCCGAAGGAAAAAGAGAGAACTTGGCCCCAGAAGACTTGGGTTTACATTCTGTTCTTGAACTTAATGATGGTGTAATAAGGTCATCACTGAACTCTTCAAACTCCAGTTTTATCATCTGTTTAATCAAGAGAAGAGGCTCCTAGACCTTGAGAACTAGAAGGGAACCTGAAGAGATCCCCTTGTCAGACCCCTTAGTTCACAAATGAGGACCTTCAGCCCCAGCGTGGACAGGCTGGGACTCACCCTCCTTAACGTCCTTGGTCTGAAGATCAGATGCAAGAAAATGTAGGTGTGTGAACCCTAAAGCATTATAGAAATGTAAGTTATTTCCGTTTATGTACAAAAGACAATCACGTGAAAGAATTTATTACGAAATGAAAAGAATTTTATTAACGTGCTGCTGTAAATGGTATATGAACTTAATGGACAATAGAGTTGCATTGTAAGTAATGAAGAATGTGAGTAATTGAAACACAGAAATATTTGTGTGAACTGATTCGTGGTAAAGAGAGTGGACCCAGGAGAGCCGTGTAGGTGGGGATTACAGTCAAGTGGACAATGAAGGCCACTCCGGAAGGCATCCTAATGCAGAACACATGCATTGATGGCCCACATCAATTCCTCCTGGCTGAGGCTCACAAGCTTCGAGTTCCCTTGCTTTCTGCTAAGAAATGGTGCAGTCCCAGCACAGCCCGGACATGCTTGGCCACTCACAGTCACTAGATCAGTTTGGTTTGGCTGTGTTTTTTTCAATCTCTCTTTTGTAAGAGATGGTTCTACGTGGAGGGAGGGTTATTGCTGGGGAATGATTGTTGTATTAAAAACAAACTACATCTCAAAAAACTTTTTTTTAAGATTTTGTGAAAAAATGTAAAGATTTTTATTGTGAACACAAGCTGCTGTAAATCTCATTTCCAGGATTTGGAAGCAGTAAGGAAGGGTGGGCTGCACATTTAACTTAAATCATCACTGCAGAAGGACTTTAAAAATCACTTAGTCCACCTTCCTCATTTCACAGAGGAAGAAACTGAGGCCCAGAGAAGGGATAAAGTGTGTCAGTGTCAAAGCAGTAAACCAGGCCCTCTCCTGTGTTTTTTCTGCTCTGTTGTGGGAGTCACACCTGAAGCCTTAAAGAAAGGAAGCCTTAGCACAGTGACCAGGAAGCTAAACTGAGTCAGGAAAACCTGTGTTCAGGTATGTGACACTGGAAAAGTCACTTAACTGCTCTCAGCCTCAGTTTTCCCATCTCAAAATGAGATAGATAGTATTTGCCCCATATGGTTGTTGTGAGAATGAAATGAGATAAAATATGTACACCACTTTAGGAACCTTAAAGCATGGCTGCTATTATTGAAAGGACCCCAGATAAGAGAAACTGAGTCTAGGAAAGGCTAACAGATTTTGCAAAAAGCCATACCTGTTCAGGTAGTTGACCCAGGAATACTGCCTGGCATAGTGTGTGTGGGCAGGGCCTTTATACTTCTTGTAGCTTCTGATTCTTCTTGTTTTTCACCTGCTACTGAAGCAAATGAAAGCAATTTGCCTGTGTTGGGAAGTAAGTTCCTCTTAAGTCAAGAAATAAAAGCACCAAAGAGTAGAGGAATTTGTCTCAATCTGGGTATACCTTCAATTTACTGGAAGTCCAGGGAAAAGCTTCAGAAGTAGCTGATATTGACATCTCATAAAATGACTCTGAGGAGCCTGGGTGCAATCAGTGAGTTTGGAAAGTTAGTGTTACTAAGATACTCCATGCCTTTTGTGGAACTGAGCACTTGCTGTGACCTGCCTGATGCTGGACAGGACCCAATGCCCTTAGAACACAAAACTTCCTTGCTTTACTTTTGACAGTCTCCTGCATTTTTTGTTGTTTGCCTGCTTCTCCTGACTGGCAGAAACTGCAAGATACTCAATTCTGTGGAAGTCAAGCCACTGGTACCTCCATTTGTAACAAAAAATAAAAACGTTCAAAAGTTAAACAAATTATTAAGTTTGTAATTTTTGTCTGAATAAACTACATACTGTTTATTTAATATTCCAAACTTGAGCAAATTGAACTCTGCCTGTATTGTCTTAAAGTCATAGATCTGTGAGGGGGTTAATATACCTGAGTGTACATATTCTCACTTTTCCTACCCTGTGGCCTCTCCCACCGTCTCTGCCCCCAGTGGCTTCAGAATATATGGATGTGCTGTATTTCTCCTCCAGCAGCATCAGGTTTCTGTCATATTCTCTTCCCTGCTTTAGTGCTATTTACTGAGCCCAGGTCCAACTGTCTCCTCCCCTTCCAGTTCACATAGGCTGCACCTGTGAAACCCCTGGTGTTGTGGTCATCCTTATGTTTGTTTTGTGGAGCTTGTGTTCCCCAGGAGGGCTCTGGTGGGGAGGGGGAAGGCCAGCTTTGGGGTGGGTGCCTGGCTGAGTGGATAGTTCATGCCTGGTGGGTGTGTGTCCCCTTGTTTTGTAGTAGTAGTGGACGCCAGCTGAGCGAGGTGTTCATTCAGCTTCCTTCCCGCAAAGAGCTGCCAGAGTACTACGAGCTCATCCGAAAACCAGTGGACTTCAAGAAAATAAAGGTAATATTGCCTTCTAGACGAAGCTGAAGAAAAGAGATTTCTTCTATGTGGGCTAGAAGTCCTCAGGCCTGTCACTTTAATGAAACATTTTAAGAATGCCCTGTGTGGACATCATTCTTTTCCCTATCCCCTAGTCTTGCTCGTGCTGCTCATTTGAGTATCAAACCTTTATTTCTTGAGTCATACAAGGTTACTTCAGGGGAGCCCCAGCCTAATGGGCAAAGACTCCAGATGGGTCTGATCTGGATAGATTTGTTTCTTCCCATGACTGACAGTCACGTAAAAGATATTAGTATGGAAAGTGCTAGGATGAAACCCAGTTTAAGCCCTTAAAATAGCGGCATGACTGTTTCAACAAGATAGTTATCTTTTTTAATAGAGTAAGTTGTATACAGGACAATCTTTGGAAAAGACATGATTTTCTGTAGATAGATCTATTTATTGCATATACTACCTGACCCTGTCCCTCCTCCCTCCCTTCTTTCCCAGGAACGGATCCGCAACCACAAGTACCGCAGCCTCAATGATCTAGAGAAGGATGTGATGCTGCTATGTCAGAATGCCCAGACCTTCAACCTGGAAGGCTCACTGGTAGGGGACAGCTGGGAGAGCCCACCACCCAGTTTCAGATGCCAAAACTGCCTTCTTCCCTCCCTCTGCCAGCAATCGTTTAGTCTCTTGGTCATCTCTAGGGCTGATGTTATCTATGCCCAAGAGAGAGGGCCTCACTTATGAAATCAAGGCCATTTGCCACTGACCTCAGAAAATAGCTTTCATGTTACTGAAATGACTCACCTCACATGGTGGATGTGCTCCTAAAGAGCTGTCTGTAAATCAAATATGTTCACATACGGTAGGAGAACCCTCTTTCCAGATACATGTTCTCAGCTCTGTCCCCTCTCCCGTGAATCCTTTTCTTCCCCAACACTCCCATGTTGATGGATGTTGTAAATCTATACATATTGCTCAGGCTCATTGTCCTTCCCATCCTCCAAACTCCCCTTAGATCTATGAAGACTCAATTGTCCTGCAGTCTGTTTTCACCAGTGTGAGACAGAAAATTGAGAAAGAGGATGATAGCGAAGGAGAAGAAAGTGAAGAGGAGGAAGAAGGAGAAGAGGAAGGATCTGAATCTGAGTGTAAGTCTTCCCTGATGCCTCCTGGGACCTAGTGATGACAGTTTCCTAACGGAAACCTTTAATCACCCTTAGGGAAATGGAAACACAGGAATGACAGGCCTTCATGAGTGAGAGGCCTGGAGAAAAGTCAGTGTTTGTACAGGGATGAGCCACATAAGATTCCATCTCCCATGTCACCAGCTGTAGGGAAGACAGGCTTTCTTCTTTTCTCTGATGAAGATGACCACCACGTTTGGGGTCCTAGGGAGGTTACTTGGGGTGCCATGTGTCTCACAGGCCCATTTGGTACTACCTGATCTATTGTCCTGAGGTGGGTGAGGTACAGAGGGGAAGAAGAGTGGATTTTATTCCCTGACTTTCAGGGAATATTCAAGGATGGCTGAAAACAGGGAGAAAACATGAGTGCAAGAGGCATTTGGGGTACTCCAGGCCCATAACCAATTTCTTCTCTTTGGTCCTCCTGAGAGTCCAGCAAGTACCCCCACAATCTCATTCCCTGTTTATGCCTTCTCAGCTCGCTCTGTCAAAGTGAAGATTAAGCTTGGCCGAAAAGAGAAAGCACAAGACCGGTTGAAGGGCCGGAGACGCACCAGCCGGGGATCCCGAGCCAAACCAGTAGTGAGTGATGATGACAGTGAAGAAGAACAAGAGGAGGTAAAGTCAGGAGGGACACGTTGTGGGGAGGCTCTTATTTATAAAAGGGAGAACTGAAGTTCAGGTACAAACAGCAAGGGACCAGCCAGACCACGCTTTGTTGATGATCCCAGCGAAGCGTTTTCCTCTCAGCTGCACACTTTTCAAACTCATCATTGGCTCATAGAGTTAAAGCCAGATGAAACCTTTCAGGCCACCTAGTCCTCCCCCTTACTGTACAAGCAGGGAAACTGAGGACCAGCAGGGTAAAATTATTTTCCCAAGGTCACAAGCAGGCAGTAAGAGGCAGAGGTGAAAAGCAAATGCCAGTCCTAGGTAACTTTTAACAGGGGTAAAAGTCAGGTACCTAAAATTTAAAGTTATCCTATAGACAGATTCCCTCCCCCTTTGACAAACACGTAGTATAAGTAAGAACCTGGGCCCTTCTACTATGGGCTTTGGTTGCTAACAACAGGAGTAACTTTCTCATTCCATAGTGTAGGGTCTTACAGCTAGAAAGGACGTTGGACCCCAGCCCTGACTGTGCAACTGTTTCTCAGGAGCAGCAGCAGAGCTGTGATGGCTTCTGTGCCTGGAGCTCGGAATGACGGCACTAAGCTCGGAGCTCAGTATCGGAGAGGCAAAGGTCGCTGTCCTCCCTCGTGTGTCATCTCCCCCACCCTCTCCTTATTTGCCAGACAGTGTGCACACAAATACAAAGAATGTAGGAGCCCCTACTCCCAAGGTAACAGACAGCTGATCCTAGCTTCGCCCAGAACCATTTCTGGCAAGTATGGGCAACCTCGCTGACATCAACATCCCCTACTTTTTCTCCTTAATTTATTCTTATTTAAGCCTTTTTGTCCCTCTTTTCAGTTCCTGCAGGGTAAGCTTCCTCCCTTCCCAGTGTTCCAAGCTAAGATTTCCTGTTACGTTGTCCTGATTTTCTTTGTCCATGTTGATGATGTCATTACACACAAAGGATCTTAAAATACAAACCCTAAGAGCTGAAGCAGCTAATTGCTGTGTCAAGCTGAGCCTGGGCCACTGGGAGGAGCCAAGAGCCCTGATGAAGATAGCGACTCTTGTTAAATAAGGAAGCTTTTAGATTAAGAAAATCTCAGTACCGATGCTGGACTTCAGCATGTATATGTCACAGAGCTGAATTTCAACTAATCTTAAGGGAATGATGATTAGCAAGACAATTAGGTTCCTAATTATCTAATCTGAGGTTATGTCTAAAGCACAGCCTCATTTCAGTTTAGCCTCTGTATTTCTGCCTCCCACGAATATCGTGGCCCAGATACGCCACTCAAGTGCAAGACACCTACCTTTATCTAATAGCTGAGGCGATCATCTCAGAACATCTGAGCTCAAACAAGCATTTGATTCTAGTTTCCAGTAGAGGTGGAAGCCTATTGGGGAATTAGCTAAGTGTTTCCTGCCATCAGAGTTTGATAGTGACAGAGAATTGAGGCTATCGAGTTTCTCTTGATGGATAGGATGGGATGGTGGCATCTTGTGTGATGACGGGAACACTGCTGTGTAGTCACAGACCCTGGGTCTGAATCCTGACTGCTTCCCAGCTGGGTGTCCTTGAGCACCTTTCTTCTCTCTGGGCCTAAATTTCCTCATCAGTAAAGTGAAGGTGTGGCATTAGATGATCTTCAAGTCCCTTCCAACCACAGGAATGATGTGATACTATGAGCCTTCCAGGTTCTGAGCAGCTCCCCCTGAGGGCCATGCCTGTGTGCTCACCCAGCCTTTCTTTGTGCCCTACTTTTTAGGATCGCTCAGGAAGTGGCAGTGAAGAAGACTAAACCGGACATTCCACGGTGTAGACCCCGAGAGTCCCTCTTCCTTTAGCTGTAACGGGTAGCAACAAATGTAGTATCAGACTTCAGTAAACTGTATAAAAATCTTCCATATTTATACTGCAGAGAAGATGTAGGACTGTTTGTGTCTTGCCTTGTCCTGACATCAGTAGCGTTTGTAACAGCATTAACTGTTTAAAAAGGAAAAAAAAAGAATTATGAATTGGGGAACACTTGATATCTATTTTTTCTTTTTCTGGCAGTACTGTTTCAGTTGCAGTATTGAATCACTGTAGTTTAAACTGTGGATGCATGTGTGTAGCCGTCCACTACTAGTACTGTATTTTATTCAACAGGTCAAAGTCACCAGGTGCCGCCTGTCCACAGAGGACACTGGCCCTCGTGAGTGTGTGTGTGTCAGCGTCACTGGATTTCAGACAGTAATAAATTAAACAAAAAAGACTCTCTGGTGAACTTACTATCTTCACGATATTCCTGTGTTGCAGTCATTTCTGTAACTCTCTAATTTCTGATTATTTACAAGAACCTTCCCCCTCCACCCTGCTCTGCAATTGCCAGCCGGCTTCTGCGGAAAGCATGAGGTCTTGGACACAAGCTAAAGATCTTGAACTTGGAGGGAGACTTACTGCCTGACCAGGAGGGTAAGATTGCTGGCCCTGTGGTGCCTGGTGGAAAAGGGCAAGCATCTAGTCCATCCTCTGCCTAAGCGAGAATCCTCTTTACTGCCTGTAGGCCGGTGGTCATCAAGTCTCCATTTGACCACACAGCTGTTCTATGACTGTTCTATGTCCAATGCAGTCCCCTTCAGTCCAAAGCACTGGTCACTTGGGTTCTTCCCAGGGTAGAGAAGCAGCTTCTT